CACAGTGCTATTTAGAAAGTGGTCAAATAACATATGTCATATTTGGGATTACACTTTCTTAGGAAAGTACAGATTCTTGTACTTTTGTTGGGTGGAATCCCATCCGGGATCCGAACCCACACCCTCAGAGTCAGCCAACCCACCTAAGCCACCAGGAAAATGGAAGTCGGCTTAACTGGTTGTCTAGACTGCGGGCTTTCATTCTTATTTTGTTCAACTGGTTTACCAGTATATTCTACCCACAAGAAGTGACTTCCACTGAAGGTGTGGGCGAATCAGGAAGTCGCACTGGCTGAGCGGGTTAGGCGGCTGACTTTGTGTGCTGGCGATTTGGTGCCTGACTCTGAGGGTGTGGGTTCAAATCCTGGGTGGGGCTCAACCAAAAAGTACTAGAATCTGTACTTTACTAAGAAAGTGTATTCCCAAATATAACATGTTACATTTGACCACTTTTTAAATAGCATTGTGAAATCCTCCAGAAAAGTCTTGTTACAATATCCAAAGGGCAGTTTGGATTTCAAACATTTTAAGGGTTATGATATATGGTGTCTTATAACTATTCTTGGTAAATTTCCATCCCAGAATACCGGGAGAAAATGTATGATAACACCTTTACAAAATTATTTTACACCCTGGACTCCTGTATCTGAAGGTCAGGGTAACTCACTTTTACAGTAGGTATAAAGCATCCTTTAATTTTAGAGTTATTTTGAATGATATCATGATTTTCTTGGTTCCTAATTTGTAATGGAAATGGTTCTTGAACTTTGTAATGGAAATGGGGTCTGTTTTTTCTGAAGTCACACTGTTCTTGCAATTTCCAAACAGCAGGGCAAGTGACCTTGAGATAGCTACCTGCCAATGCTCTGGACCTGCCCTTCTGCAACAAATAGAAATCCACATGTGAAGCAAAGTTTTGTATGCAACTTAATGTGTTGTATGCAAATTAATGGATCAAGCTTGATATGATTTCAGCCAATTAGCATCTAGAATCAAGCCTTGAAATGACCTTGAACTTGGTGACTGAAATCCAATGTGCACCATGTTTACCGTTGAGGGTATGGCATGATATGGTCAATGCCAAGTGTTTGGGTTTTTTAAAAAGACTGATGACTTTCTTGTTTCTATCAGATCAATCCAGCCTTGTCTAAACATTGTTATTTTAAAAATTATTCTCATTTTTGTAGAGGGAAAAGAGAGTTAATGATGAAAAAGACCCAAATAGCCATTAGTGCCACACAGACTTTCTCTCCTCGGTCATAGTCCTCCATGGATAGACATGGCAACTCTGAAACACACAAGATGAGAGGGAATTGTTGATTTCTCTTCAAATCTAGTCGTTTGTTTGAAATTCACCGTCGCCAAGTGTTTGGGTTTTTTTAAAAAAAGACTGATGACTTTCTTGTTTCTATCAGATCAATCCAGCCTTGTCTAAGGCATTGTTATTTATAAAATTATTCTCATGGGGTTTTGTAGAGGGGAAAAGAGAGTTAATGATGAAAAAAAGACCCAAATAGCCATTAGTGCCACACAGACTTTCTCTCCTCCGGTCATAGTCCTCCATGGATAGACATGGCAACTCTGAAACACATGAAGATGAGAGGGAATTGTTGATTTCTCTTCAAATCTAGTCGTGATACATAAGCTAAAGGTCTGAAATAACTTGCTGACCAGTAAGATGTAACAAATGTCCTCTGGCTGTGTTCGAATCTTGGTTTCACGAGATCATGATATTTTAGCAACACTCAATATCAAACCCTCATTAAAGGTGTATTTTTAGGTATGCCAAAATTACTTTTTTTAGGCACACCTAAGTTACTCGCTTCATGGTATCAGTAAATAATTCATGCATAGGAATCTACACATAATACAAGACATGGTTAATGACAGTTCTCTATCTAAGCAGTTCATGTATATCTATGTATTCAGTAGCAGTAGTGACGTGTTTGGCTTACTGATACAAATGCTTAACTAACTAATATGTGTATTACATGTGTAGTGAAATGAAGTCATGTTGTGTCCAGCCTCATTAAAATCAGATCTTAGTGCTTGCTTCCACTACAGGTTGATCTAAGGACATCCAGTCACAGGTCATGTGAGGACAACCTTTCACTCAAACATTGAACATTCCAGATTGTGTGAATGTGTCCGCTTATCATGCCTCAGAAAGGTTAACAGACATTCAAAACGACTGAACGATTCCATCAAAATCATCTAAAGATGCTTTTATCACTGGCAAATGTTGACTTGTTAATTTCACTGGTCAGTCAAAGTTTGCGAAAAGTCGTTCTCGAAAGACCCGGGTTCGATTCCCCACATGGGTACAATGTGTGCAGCCTATTTCTGGTGTCCCCCGCCGTGATATTGCTGGAATATTGCTAAATACGGCGTAAAACCATACTCACTCACTCACTCACTCACTCTCATGGGATCAATTTTTTTTGTATCTCCATAGCGAGCACGAAGATCATGTAAAAGTGAAACACTGAATGTGTTTGCTTATCATGCCTCAGAAGGTGAACAGACATTTGAAACAACAGTTACAGACTGTACAACTGAACGATTCCATGAAAATCACATAAAGACAGTCTAAGTAAACTAAGGCTCAGTATTATTTCTTACACTGCTATACTGAGTCTAACAAACCCTAGTACAAGGTCGCATCAGCTAACCTTTGAGTGAACTATGACCGTCCAATCAAACACAAGACAGCCGAACGGGTTTAACCAATCAGACAATGACTACTTGGTAGGGTTCAGTGGGACTTACAAAATGGTTTTTGGATTTTCTCTTCCCTGGTCGCTGACACACATCTATCAACAAACGAAATTCCGCATAAAACACAGATATTTGACCTGCAGTATATACGCTTAGGGGTTTCTAATGACATGGTTACTATTAGCTTATATTTCCGCAAGATGACATCCTTGAATATTGACAAAAACGCTATTTTCAGCGACTGTTTACTCATTGCGTCCTCCATATGTATAATCCAAGAAGCGTATCGCGCCGAAAAGTAGCATTTGGAATCGTTCGAGTTTTTTAGGTAAAGGTTCAAACGATATGTGCGAATGTAAACTATCGCAATTTGGTAAGCTATGTTCTGATTGGTCAGTCCAACAGTTAGCTGACGCGATCTTCTACTTGGGTTTGTTAGACTCAGTATAGCAGTGTAACGAATAATAATGAGCCTAAGTTTACTTAGGCTGACATAAAGATGCTTTCATTTTGGTAAATGTAGACTTTCTGGATGCCATATAGCTGGAATATTGCTGAGTGCTGTGCTAAACAACACACCAACCAAACAATAACAGCGAATAATTACAATTTAGCACCATTTTGAACAATGTTCCAGGTATATCATGAAGGTTTTAAACGGTTATCACTTGATGAAACCCATGAGTATGGATATGGTGCATTCTCTTCCCACAGAGGTTACTCCTGTCGTATGTTCCTATGTAACCTCTGTTCTACGGCCATATTTCCTGGTTCTCGTAAAATCCCCTTGCGGCAAAAAATCTCAACACAAATTATCTGTGTTAATTGACTTAGATCCAATATGGCGGCCGCCATGAAGTTAGTTGATCAACGTGCAAAGGATAGATTCAGTATATCATGTTTAAATGAAAAGCAGAAACTAGCGCAATGGAGAGTGCAGGAATCAATCGACAAGATGTTTTTGTTGATGTGACATACAAGACATTTAATGGCCAAAATGTCTGTTGTCTTTGAGGGCGATGGAGATGCCTTTGATCCGCCATTACATGACTAGGTTCTTCCTATGAGGAACGTTTGCGCATCATGCTGGGGTAGAGGTTCTAGTTTTCCTGAAGCATACGGAAATTGTCGAGGCTTTGTGAATGATCACTTTTGAAACAACGTCGCTGATTGCACAACCAAATCTGATTGCAACCAATCACGAATCCTGAACACTTGCACCATGAAAGTTCCGTATTAGAACAGAGGTTATGTGGGAAGATATGACAGGAGTCACCTCTGTTGGACTGACTGACTGACTGAGTTTGGTTTTACGCCGCTTTTAGCAATATTCCAGCAATATCACGGACGGGGACACCAGAAATGGGCTTCACTCATTGTACCCATGTGGGGATTCGAACCTGGGTCTTTGGCGTGACAAGCCAACGCTTTAACCTCTAGACTACCCCTCCGCCCCTAACCTCTGTTGGAAGAGAATGAGATATGGAGTTGACAAACCAACAAACAAGATCTGGATGAACCACACTGTAAACCCATGATCTCAGGATTCTCAAGCCCGAAAGGCGATTGTCTACATTGCAGCATCAAAGATAAAGCACCTCCTTGGCAGCGTTAACTCTTCCCACCATTTGTTTAATGCAGAACGCTGTTTGACTAATTATGATCCTTTGAGAAAACTGAAATTAGGATCCATTGGTTACATGTGATCTGGTACTTTCTGTACCATTGTGCCCGATTGCTGTCCATACTATTCATTCCTTCATTAATTCAGATCTTGTAGCTCACTCACTTATGTCAGATGTTCCAAAGTTGTTTGAATGGGGAATTAGGCCAGACCAATATTATTTCTTGTATTACGGATCCGCCGGTCGTATTTTTTCAAGAAAAAAAAAAAAATAATAATTAATTTTCACCGTTCTAAAAATAAAATCCTCATGCACTGGCCAAAAAACACTTTTTCTGATTGTTTTTTGCCCCATACATACTTCATTAATTGCCAAAAATAAAATACTTTTAGTATTTAAAAGGAATATTACTTTGACTGGTGATTTTTATTTTTTATTTTTTTCCCTCCTGCCTTTTGGTTTTCTGAGGACAAAAATCCGTAAAACAAGAAATAAAATTGGTCTGACCTTATGAAAAATCTTGATATCTTGTACCATGTATGTATTCATAAAAATATTGGTGTAAATTTACTGCCAACATTTAAGGCATTGTTATCTTACTAACATGTGTACATTGTATGTGCATGAAACTTATGGCAAGCATCATATGTATTTCAGGTGACGCCAATGTCCGTGACAATCTCCGTGGCAACACAGCGCTGCATTATGCTGCTGAAGAAGACCATCTGGATTGTCTCAAACTCCTGCTAAAGGTCAGAGGTCAACCCCAGATTTGCAACAACGATAACCTGACCGTCCTTGATGTGGCCACGGGTGAATGCCGAGATTTCCTGGATCAGTGTGGTAGGTGATTGGCTGATATCTTATATAACATTACTAACAACACACCACGCCAGGAAACAGCTGGAAAATTGTGTGATAAGAACTAACGGAAACTGGGCATAGAACCAGCCAGTATTACCAGAGACCATAGTTCTCTGGTATTCCAGGCTTGGTGTGAGAGTTAGCTGAGAATGAAAAGTAAGATGAATACATTTCCATTGTCTGCCTCACATTCCCTGAACTGCTTTATCTTCTTTACAACCAAGCCCTTGCTGCAATGCTATAACCCTAAATGAAGCAAGACTAGATTTCCTCAGGATCATGAAACTTTTGAATTTGCCTCTTTTTCAGTTTAAATTGGTTTATTTGTTACGATCAAAATTGTATATATTCAGAGACAATGTGTTAGTCTATTCCATTGTCTGTCTCACAGTCCCTGAACCATTTTAATTTTAATTTTTCCCCTCTTCATTTTCTTCAGGTTCTGAACCTTCCATGTCACTGAGGCTCCTTTCGATATTAAATCATGTTACATTGTATTTGTTTCTATCAAAATTATATTTTCTGAGACATGAAGCATTAATCTAAAATTTCCATAAAAGGGTTAATAATGACGCATGGTTTCAAGCCTAAGGTGGACGTGGAGTTACATGCTTTACTATTGGCTGGCATTGTCTTTTGTGACAACATGTTTGTTTAGGTCTTCCAAGATTTGCATGTCACTTTGGTGGGAATACCTAAAACTCAGTTCGGTGAGAAGATTCTGAATAAACATTGTTTATACTCTACTAGTCCTCCTCAAATTGGTCTGTTTGTTCATGTGAGCTAGCACTATAAAACCAGCTTAAGTCTGGGCTAGTACAAGCAGCCGCACATACACATATACACACGCATGCAAGTCGTTATATGAGTGAAATATTCTCAAGTGCGACGTAAAACCCAATTTCACCTCACCTCACCTGTTTGTTCATGTATCATATTGGGAAACAAGACAATGACTGGTCCCTTGAGGTTTGCTCTTAGGATGACATTCACAAATGAGTGACTGTAATCAATTTCATTTGTTCATGTTATCGATAGATACACTGACAAGACTGATTACACCAGGTACATGTACATAGTTCAGTGGTCATTGATTTCACAAGTGGTATTGATTAGTCTGGCAATTACTGTCTTACATGGTGACATGACATCTTCTGTGAGCGTTGTTGAACACCTGGACATGCTGTCTGGTTTTCACATGTATCTGATGCCTGTTGTCTAATGGATGGAGTGTTCACACAAAGAGCTAAGGTGGCTGGTTCAAGCCCTGGCTCTGTCAGCTAAAAGGTACCGGTGAAGATCGGGGTTTGAATTGATGTTCAGTAACCCATGCTTGTTGTTAAGAGGCTACTAACGGGATTGGGTGGTCAGGCTCGCTGACTTGGTTGACACATGTCATCGTTTTCCAATTGCGGTTGATCATTGGGTTGTCTGGTCCACACTCGTTTATTTACAGACTGGCGCCATGTAGCTGGAATATTGCTGAGTACACCGTTAAACAACACAATAACGAAACAAAAATATGCCAATGATAAGAATAATAATAATAAAGATAATACATGTTGTTACCCTGCCTGCCTTAATGAGTGAAATAATCTTAACACTTAATGCGCATGTCAAGCATGACTTTGACTTGCAAAGTTGCATTGTGTTGACCAATCAAAGACCAGCTTTCAGTGTCTATTTTACTTTACAGATGAAGTGGGCCCTGGGCCCATGGGTAATGAAACTAGTGGGACATTTGGCATTGTAGGTCGGTCATCAGAAGAAAAAAAGGGAGTCAATTCATTCACTCAGTAATTTTAATGATTTTATCAATCAAATTATAGCTGTTCATTTGTATTAACTGTTAATTCAAACACGGTTAATTTAATGAGATGACCATAAAAGTTATTATCTTGTAACTTTATATCTCAGGGACAGTCTGTTTAAATTTTAAATTAGTAGACTTATTTTTACTTTCACTGAACAAAACCCACAGATATAAAACTTGCCATTTTGTTTGTGAAGAACGTGACTGGGATGTCTTGCTCTCAGTTTCAACATCCACTGTGGTGGCCGTGTCATTGACATTCGATGTTTCCGTTGCAATTTCTGATTTGCAATTGCCATCATTTAACCCCACAACGGTTCCCAAATCTTCTCTGTCATTTTTTTTATCTTTTTGTGTGGAAAAACGAAAGTATTGGCGACTGTCGCTTCAATGCCTTCCCAGCAGAAGACGATTTTGCTCCCATTATTTTGGTTCAAAACTAACTTCAAATTCAGTTACCGCCCTTCGGTATAGAAAATTACTGCTATGGGGCGTAACTCTTAATGTATAGACAAATAGCATGACTTGAATAAGCTACGTATTATAAGCTCCATGCATTGATTTAGGCACCGCACTGGATGTTGGAAAGCAGACATAGCGCTGTGAGGATTACGAATGCTGACTGATCACTAGAAAATGTGAAAACAAGTTGAAACTATTGGGAAGTTTATGTATAATTGTTACGAGTCACTTTATTGTTATGGTGACCCAACTGGACCCAACAGGTCAAGGAATAGTGCGTCATTTTGTACTTCTATGCACCAATGGTGCAAGGGCACGGTCTAAAATAGACTCTGAGCCTTATGGTATCAAACTCGTGAAGACCGAATTCAAAGTTTGAATTGCCTTTGCATTTTTTTAAATCTTCCCTGCATAGATAAGTGATGTTATTAGACCATAAGTGTATAAAGTTCAAATTTAAGTAGAATAAGGAATAGGAATTTCTTCTATATTAACATTGTACTGTATTGGGCATGTGCTTATCCCAAATCCTAAGGTTATGCTGTGATTGAAACAGTGCTCAATTTGTGTGCCGTGGCACGGTAATATTGGAAACGGCATGGATGAAATATTTTATGCAAATAATACTCACTATTATTCATTACATGGGAAATGTAATAAATTTGACCCAATTCAAATTATTGAAAACCAGTTGTTGCACCCATTGAAACTATTTATTGGTACATTCAATTTCACAGCTTATTGTTACCGTGGCCATTTTGAATTCCAGTGCTCATGACAGGAAATCCCGTTTTGCATGATAACATAGTTTATGGGTTAGTTTATGGGTCCTGGACAAATGAAGCTGAACTATTCTAACAGTCATGATAGTGTTCAGGAAATTCTGCTCTCAAGTTTACAGGTTTACATGATGTTTACTGATATATTAAACAATAAATTGAAATGACATAATTATTGTGATGTTTCAAGTCTGGATCATGATGAAAAGGTTTCTGCACGTACGCATACCTAAATTATCTGTTCTGTGCCCCATGGCACTCTTTGAAAAAAATGCATTTTTATCCCTGTTATGTTATTATCCCCCACCGCTCGTTTAGAGCGAAGCAGGGGATATAGTATTAGGCTCCGTCCGTCTGAGGTACGAATTGGAATATCTTAAGAACTGTTGACTAGATTCTTTTCATATATGGTACCTAGGTTCATCACAGTATAAGAAAGGTCCCAGTCAGGTTTGGTGACCTTGACCTTCGTTTCAAGGTCACAAGGGGACTTTAACGTTTAACTCTTGTCAGCAAAATACCTCAGGAACCATTCACTGGATTTTCTTCATCTTTGATGCCAAGCTTCATCTAGGGAAAGTGCAAGGCCCAGTCAATTCTGGTGACCTTCACGTAATTTTCAAGGTCACTGCGACACTTTGAAGATTTCAGCATGTTAACCTGAATTCACTGGATTTTCTTCATAGACTTTCAAGACTTCCCTTGAATGTTTTTCAATAAGTAGTTTCTTTAGTACCATTTTTGCATATTTCATATACTATGACTTTCTTGAAAATATTTGTGTGTTTGAACAACTAAAAAGTGAGTGAGTTTAGTTTTACGCCACTTTTAGCAATATTCCAGCTATATCACGGCGGGGGACACCAGAAATGGGCTTCACATATTGTACCCATGTGGGGAATCGAACCCGGGTCTTCGCCGTGATGAGCGAACGCTTTAACCACTACGCTACCCCACTGCCCCGAACAACTAAAGAGCAAGACATCAAGAGAGGTTGACTGGTCATGTTTTTGTTGACATTTAACTTCATCTTAAACTTTCATTACTTTTAAAGTTTGATTTGATAATTTGCGGCGGGGGATTATGTCACCTTAGTGACAATGCTTGTTAAACTGATATGATTGTTATGGTTGTCAGATTATGGTTGTCAGTTGCCGGTACATGATTCCATAACAAGTAGATATTTTTAGGTCAACCGGGGTAAGTGATTATGGTTTTACTGCGTTCTGAGCAATGAACAATATCATGCAAAGATATACACAAAATAGATACCAATTTGCATATGATGGTCAAACCGTCCCATTTTTAACCACTGTCCCACTGTGACTGGACAGAATCATGGTTTTGACACTTGTTTGCTGAGGTATATTGCAACAAGTATTCATGCACACTGTGATAGGTTCAATTCCAGAAATGTGCTTCACCATCATGTTGTTGCTGGAATATTTATAAAAGTGGCATAAAACTAAACTCACTCATTGTTTCTGTTTGAGAAAAGTAACCAGGAAGTGACGGAGATGGAACTGCTTCTGTTTTTGCATGTTGTTCTCTCGTCATTATCTTGATCTCGTCACTATATGGCAGGAATATTGCCAATGTGACGTAAAACCCAACGCAACTGAACAACTCGTCATTATTAGTGTTTTGCTAATGGGGAAGCAAAGTGTTTCATGCCTTCGTGTACTCGACTCATTGGAACATTCTGTTCAAATAGGCACCATTTTAATCCTCATCTTCAGTTTTAAAACACACTTATCATTTCGACAAAGGGACTTTGTTGAAGTATTTTGGTTTCTTTAAAAGTATTTGTGGTTTGAAGGTTATTTGTGTCCTGCTTGCTGACACAGCGGGTTGTTGCAGCAAGTCAGGGCAATCCCTGAACCTGCTGTGATTAAAAACTGGAGGCTTCATAAAGTTTTGTTGGCAGAACATGACCTATGTTATTGACATAATATTCACCCTGTCCTGTCATGTGGACTTTTCTGGGTCACAAGTTGAGGGAGTTGTTACTGAAGCTGGTGAGGACAAAAATGGCGATGTCATTGCTTTCATTAATGTGAATTGTTGTCAGGTTCTAGATACCAATTAGTGGTCTGGTTGCAAGTAGGTAACAGGTACAGTTTGTTGTTGATGTAGAAAATATTCATGATAGAACTTCATTCATTCTGAATTCATCTGGTGAGTCCTTTGTGTGTAGTTTAATGCCACACGGAGCAATATTTCCATGACATAACTAATCAAGTCCTGACCAGACATTCCAGTGATTGAAGTAATGAATATTGATCTGTGTAACTGAGATAGGATAATATGCATTGTATCATTGACTCTGACCATCTGATCCTTGTAGTCAACTCTAAAGACAAGCATATACCAATGAGGTGAGGTGAATTTGGGTTTTACTTCGTGCTTGAGAATATTTCGCTCATATGACGACGTGATGCGTGTGTATGTGTATGTGCAGCTGCTTGTACTAGCCCAGACTTAAGCTGGTTTTAGAGTGCTAGCCCTCTGAGATACCATGCCGCAGTGAAGCATGAATACCCCACTCAGACACATTATACTGACTCCGAGCCGACCAGTCCTTGTTGTACCCATTAATGCTGAGCACCAGGCAGGGACCAACGAGTACCATATTTTAACATATTTTGGTATGACGTGGTCGGGGAACGAACCCGCAACCTTCTGCTCTCTGGGCGGACGCACTAACCACTACACCACGGAGGCGGTTTATACCAATGAAGATCAAGGTTAGAATTGTTCTTCAGCAACCCATGATTGTCATAAGAAGCGATAACAGGATCTGGTGGTCAGGTTCGTTGACACATATGTCATTGTATCCCAATTGCATAGATTGATATTCATGAAGTTGGTCACTGGATTGTCTGATCCAAACTGGATTATTTACAGACAGCCGCCATATAACTAGAATATTGCTGGGTGTGGCGTTCAACAATGAACAACAACAATAAAACAACCGTGTTTGAAGACAGGGTTTTACACAGACTTTGAAAAAGAGAGTCATGGTGACTTACAGTATTTAGTTTGGGGTTCATTTTCAATGTTTGGGAGTGATGAAAATTGTAGTGTAATATTTATTTGTGTATATCAAAAGCAAACGTTTTGCAAAGATTTTGTTGTTTTATGTTGTATTGTCATTTAAATGTTACCGGTAGTTAATAAATAGTATATTTTTCACTGTTCAATTCAGTCATAACAAAATCCAGCATACTGAACAAATAATCATGCTTGTGATTTACTCACTGTAGCATACAGTTAATAACATGAATTAAAAGATATATCTAAATTAATGAAGACCTCAGGAAAACTATCATTGTTTGCTTATCAAATAGATTTTACTGAACCGAATTCTGAGGGTTACTCATAAAACGTGCGTCAAGCTTGACTCGTATGATAATATTTTGAGAGTTTTGACAAAGTTGCAAATACGAATCACGCGTCATGTAAAACCCTGTCTGAAGACCATTCAGATAATTCAGATCTCCAAGGGTACAGAAAGACCTGTCTCGAGATATTAATTGATTACTTAGGGAGGGTTGGTTCTTCTAAAATTTGAAATGGAAACATTGTAACTGGAAAGGAAAACCCCAGCTAGTCCTCAGTTGAAATCAGATTCATCAAGATAGATCATGACGGGAATCCAGCTTTCATGAACAGTGATGCAATAATACACACAAATCAGTGATGTCATGATCAGCAGTCATGTTACAGTTATATACAGTCAGACCTCGTATATCCAAACTTCAGATATCCGAATACCTCGGTTTCTGAACATTCTTCACAAAAACTGAAATTTTCTAGTTCCAAATTACCTTGTATATCCGAATGTTCGGTTTCCGTATCCGAAAGGTCAATTTTGGTAACGAAACAGCAAAATATGTACAAATTTGCCTCGTATATCCGAACACCAAGGCTGTCGTCGGCAAGATGTCTGATGTTTACCACTCCTCAACAGTGCTCAATCCTATATCAAAATCCAAGGTCTGTTGTCGGCGAGGTATCAAAACACGAAGTCTAACATGTCTACCGCTTGTCAAAACATTGTGCTGGCTGCTAGTTAATTCATTGTTTATTGAATATTTATCACAGGGCGTGTAGGTTAATAAGAGAAGAAATAGTTAAAGTTTGACATTGACTTGACACTGATTCGAATCATTGATTGAGTAAGCATAAATAAAGAGGGAGGTGTATGCTAGATATAGAAACAACACAAAGGTGTGGATGACAGCAGAGCTGTTTCGTGATTGGCTGCTGTCTTTGGATCGACAGATGAGGTCACGTGGAAGGTGGGTCATTTTGCTTGTTGACAATGCGGCTAGTCACAACTGTAAAAATCCCAAAACTGACCAGCGTGACAGTCCATTTCCTGCCACCCAACACAACCGTACACATTCAGCCAATGGATGCAATGGATTTGAAAATGTCAGCTACCTTACAAACCTGGAGCTGTTGTTGAAATTCCAAGCAGCGAATAACAACTCTGTCCGTCAACAATCATCAATCACATAAAGCCGATGTAATTTATGTTATGTTATGTTATGCAAGATGTTACGTTAAATAAAGATGTAGTTATGTTTCAATGTTATTTTTAGTTGTTTTGTTTTCACGTGTAGCCGACTGCCTAGGTCCTGATTCAGATATCCGAATGATTCGTTTGTCCTGAACAATTCAATAATAAACCAAAGTGTTCGGATAAACGAGGTCTGACTGTACACACAAATCAGTGATGTCACAATCAGCAGTCACATTACAATAATATACACACAAATCAGTGATGTCATGTTCAGTTACACATATCTTAATGATGTTCACAGAAACCACTGATGTCATGACCACCATCACAACTGTACACATAAACTGCTGATGTCATATATATGTAGCTTTCGTCCAAGCACTGATTTCACTAAAACAGAAATATATGAAAAATGGAATGCACATCAATAATAACAATATTAATTTGACAGGTATCGATTTTTTCAGTATTCTCAGTGTTCTACTCTGTTATATATTCAACACAAAGGAAGTGCAAAACATATTTTAATGATCAAATTTCAGATTGCAAACTTGTTAAATGTTTGTTTAGCTGTTCACTGCAGGACAAGGGTGGGGAGACAAGATAATTCCTATATTTGATATTTTGCCAAGATGCTGTTATTATCTGGATAGGCTGGGATCCTGTCTACCTGAACGAGTTCATCATGTACATTTGCACGCCACTAAACATACCATTCATCGATCCTCGGTATCATGATGACAAATAAACGACTACATGATGTTTTTGTATGAAGTAGCATTGTTCATGTCAAAACTGAAACCAGCGGAGCAGGTAGTTGAAAATGTTATCGCCCTAAACAAACTTTTCAGGTGAATACATGTCTCCGTTTGTAAACAAGGAGACCGCTCATGCACACCAACAACCAGGTATAGCTTCTTTGAGTGGCATTTTAGAAGTTGGGAAGTATAATATAGAACAATCTTTATGGATAACATTCGTGCACTCACGAATAAAAAGAAGTTGTTATCCATAAAGTTTGTTCTATATTGAACCAGATATTGTACAGGTTCTTGCCTAGACTAACGTTAGTCTATGAATGTGTATAATTTTGAAAGAAATAAACAATTGTTTCTAGTTTAAAAGGAGCCCCTTTGAACCTAAGGAAATCTAGACTTGCTTCATTTAGGGCTAGGCAGAAGAGAAAATAATGTGGTTGAGGGACTATGAGACAGACTAATTTGTGCTTTATTGAGTGTGAGGCTAAAAACGCTAAGCTTCTTTTATGAACATTTAGTTCTTTCTGCTAAATTCTACTTTCAATGTATTAACTGGACAGATACTTAATAAATTGAGCAGTGACAGCAAAAACTGTTACTAAGATATTAGGATAACATCATTATGACAGTTGGACAATTCTGTAATTTGTACACCATGTTGTGTGGAAAACATCATATACAGCAAGGCTATGTAAACACAATAACACCAATCCTTAGATTGTATGACCAAGTGCTGAAACAAACAAATATGGATGAATGAGAGTCGCCCCCGCCTCCACAGAGTCTTCATTGTGTGGGTAGGTAGAGCTGATAGGTCAGCATGCTATAGTTACCTTGATGGCTTCAGGTCAGACGGACACAGGTGTCACCTGTAACCCCTCCCACTCATTGTGGTATCTGCCTGTCTACCTTGAAGACCAGTCCATGTTGTTTATTCAGGGGTTGAGGTAGTGAGCTCGGCCAGACTCTGGGGCATGTGGGATTGCGGGCTATGATATGGTGGTATCTGTCAGTGTGTTTGTAGATATGAAATTTCCCTTTTAGAAATGGAGACTGTAAAAGATTCGAGCGAGATGAAGCCGGGAGAGGGGAAGGATGACCTGAACAATAACATGGATACCGATGAAGGAGAGAAAGAAGGGAGGAGAAGAAGTTCGTCAACAGGTGTGCTCAGGTGTGAGAGTCAAGAGGAATTCCCAGGTAGGCCGACGGGAGGGTTTGTCTGAGGGGAGAGATTTCCGCATGTTTGGAAGGAGATTGGGTGGTGTTTGTCATTTCCCATGATGCCATGGCTAGTGAAGGGAGGGGGATACTGTTTTTACTTCATTCTGTATTTTTGTTTCAAGTTTCTTTTTGTGATTTATGATACATGTTTAACATGATCAAATATATGGCTAACTCAAATATTCAAGTGTTCAGATTCTTGTCAACCCAATGCCACACCAACTTGCCGGTACTCTACAGAGTTGCTATGGTGACTGATTTCTAACAAAGAGGACTCCTTGCATAACCCTTTTGTTTAGATATAAATATTGGAGTCCTTGGTTAAATTACTGTTGAAGCCACAAGGACCTCAGACCCCACTTTAATGGGTAACAATGTTTACAAATTACGATTAAATTAAGTAGTCCACCAAAAGTATAATTATTTTGGGGGAATACAGTACTTATTAAACTGTGAAAGGCATTTACGAGTTGGAAAACCGTGTATGTGCCTAAGATAAGCAAAACTACATGTATTTGTATTTCCAACCTATGTTAATTACAATACATCCATACTTCTTCATCTGTAGGGCGGTGGGGTAGTCTAGTGGTTAAAGCGTTGGCTCGTCACGCCGAAGACCCGGGTTCGATTCACCACATGGGTACAATGAGTGCAGCCCATTTCTAGTGTCCCCCGCCGTGATATTGCTGGAATATTGCTAAAAGCGGCGTAAAACCAAACTCAGTCTGTCAGTCAGTCTTCATCTGTAATCTTCTTTCCTCTTCCGTTCCTGTCTATCCCTGTCTATCACCTGTTTTCTGTCTCCATCTATCCCTTTCTATCTTTGTTTATCCTCCTCTATCCCTCTCTATTCCTATCATATCTATCCCTCTCCACCCCATATCTCTGATCCTTGTGATTACCATGTTTGCAGTGGGGATCGTCCGCATAATGTGAGCTACAGACAATGACACTGTTGATGACCTGACCCAGTTATGTTTATGAATCAGATTCTCATCATGTACTGTAAGCAGCCTGGTTGCATATTAATGAATATCTGTCCATGCTCATGTTGATGTTTTGATAAGTTGAATTACATTAGAATGTTAAACCACAACCACGCCTGGAATGCGCTATGCTATTTGATGGATATTTTAGCCCAAGAGGAGCACATATTGGGTTTTGTCCTAATTTTCATAGATTATTCACGTACAACATAAACAGTATAGGGATATATGTCCCCAGCAATCTATGCATCTTGTAAGAGGAGTCTTAAAGGATTGTGTAGTCAGCATGCTGTCGATCCCAACTAATTGGTTTGAGGTTCTTGGTTTGTTTGGTCCCAACTCAATTATTCACACCCTTTCATCCATATATGGCTGGGGCATATAGGGTTTCCCTCCGTGTCCGTCCGTCGTACCGTCCATACGAAACAGGGAATGTACTCTATCCACTTCTCCACAAAAAAATCTCTGTGGAATTCAATGAACTTATACATGGGCTTTCTTGGGACTCTAATGGTGTGCATCTCATATTTTGTTTTTGTATTTTATTGGTTTTTTTGTAAGTTTAGAGACATTTGAACTTAGGTACATTTTGCTGAATTTCTCTATGATGATAGTGTAATAGGGGATGAAGTCTATCCACTTCTCCACAAAAACTGCTCAACAGAATTGAATGAACTTCTACATGTCTTTCGTAGGGACTCTAAAGGTGTGCATTTTTCATAATTTTTTATGCACTCAGCAATATTCCAGCTATATGGCGGCGGTCTGTAAATAATCATCGGTTCCCAATTGCACAGATCGATGCTCATGCTGTTGATCACTGGATTGTCTGGTCCAGGCTCAATTATTTACAGACCGCCGCCATGTAGCTGGAATATTGCTGAGTGCAGCGTAAAACTAAACTCACTCACTCACTCAAGATACACACTTATTAAGTCACTCTGTACCTTGACTAACTGAAGCCATTGTATGGATGATTGCATCTCTGTGTTCCTGTGATAGGATTGGTATTACATCACACAGGATTGTATCATTGCCATCAAACACCACCTTGCCTATATCACTGGCTTCAGGTTTCTAGAGTGTTCAGGAATGAAACTGAGACACAGAGATAAACCCACACAGGAACTCTAAAGTAGATGTAATCTTTTGATAAGATAGAATTTCAATATTAGAACTGGTTTCTACACTTAGAAGTGTATGTAATCTAGAGAATTTATCTTTGGATTATTTGGGTTCAATGTTATGAAATCTTTGTGGTAAATTAGATTGTTGAGTCATGGCGTTTGCCTTTGTAAGGCAGGTAATAGTGTAATGACTGTGTGGCTAGACGGGGTGAGTGGTCTCATGGGTGAAGTATTAAAACCATTCAGGTGGAGAAGATTGTCGAGCTTGATAATGGATGTGATTAAAGGGGTGGAGTGAAAGAAATGGCTCTGATTCATATACTGAAGATCAAAAGTAACTGATCACATGAATTTAATGGTACGTAAATATACACTGATGATTATGCTGTGTGAAAACTGAGCATGGAAGTGAAGGGACATAACTATTTTGCAGTAGAGTAGCGTGTGATCCTGTGCACAGAGTCACGAATCAGTTGAAGTTAAGCAACGTCGAAGCTCGGACAGTCCTTGGATGGGTGACCGTGTTTGGCAGGTTGACTCCTGAGAGTTTCTAGGACTTCAGTCCTGCCCCACAACGAAGCACATGTGATACATGTGGTCTCACCTTAGGCAAGTGAGTTTGTTCAAAATTGCCTCTGTTCACCCAGCAGAAAATGGGTACCCGGTTGGATAAAGTCATGTGACTATAACCTTCTAGCTCCTAACAGGCAGCTTGGGTTATCCGGGGTAATAATCATCAGATTCTGATTAAGTGCCACAAGCAATCACTTGGTGTTTGGAGACTGTTTGCTATAGAAGATGGCTTATTATTATTATTAGAGGAAAGATTTAAGATGTCAACATACCACAAGAACCCCCTTCATTTCGAAAACTTGTGGGGTGGTGGGGCAGCCTAGTGGTTAAGCCGCATTTTCTTGTCACATTTTCGATTCCTCACATGGGTACAATGTTTGAAGCCCATTTCTGGTGTCCCCTGCCATAATATTGCTGGAATATTGCTGAAAGTGGCGTAAAACTAAAAACACGCACTCACTTAAAACTGATATGGATTCGATGATATACAGTTGTTGGTATTTGGTTATGTTCCCTTTAATGTCTGAAAGTTTATGTTCTGGAATTACTTTAAGCCTACTTTCATGAGCAGAATGTTTTCATAGATTAACAGTAAGAATCAATGCCTGCATAATTGATCACTGATTTGCCTCTTGACGATACATGTTGCATCAGTGAAACAGCAGTGATGTGTGCTGGCATTATCGACCACTAGTTTGCTTATTCAAGGCTGATAACATGTTGCAGCTTCAGTAAAGTAGCAGTCATGTTGTTCATATTATCAACCACTGGGTGGGCTATTCAAGTAATTTTCCTTTAATGAAGTGGCAGTGATAGTGGCAATGACACGTTGTAGCTTCAGTGAAATTCAACCATTAGTTGGCGTATTCAATACTAGTGAGTGAGTGACTTTAGTTTTACACTGCTTTTAGCAATATTCCAGCAATATCACGCAGGGGGACACTAGAAATGGGCTTCACACTCTGTACCCATGTGGGGAATCGAACCTGGGTCCTCCGTGTGACAAGCGAACGCTTTAACCACCAGGCTACTACGCTCGCCCCAATTCAATTATACATAGCAGCCACAGTGAAATAGCAGTGGAGGTGCTCACTTTATCAACCACTTGTTGGACTATTCAATACTAATTATATGGAGCAGCTGTAGTGAAATAGCAGTGGAGGTGCTCACTTTATCAACCACTTGTTGGACTATTCAAAACTAATTACATGGAGCAGCTTAGTGAAATAGCAGTGGAGGTGCTCACTTTATCAACCACTTGTTGGACTATTCAATACTAATTATAGGGAACAGCTATAGTGAAATAGCAATGGAGGTGCTCACTTTATCAACCACTTGTTGGACTATTCAATACTAATTACATGGAGCAGCTTAGTGAAATAGCAGTGAAGGTGCTCACTTTATCAACCACTTGTTGGACTATTCAATACTAATTATATTTAGCAGCCACAGTGAAATAGCAGCTCACTTTAGTGAAATAAATACAATGGAGGTGCAGTGTAGGTGCTGCACTTTATCAACCACTTGTTGGACTATTCAATACTAATTACAGGGAGCAGCTTAGTGAAATAGCAGTGGAGGTGCTCACTTTATCAACCACTTGTTGGACTATTCAAAACTAATTACAGGGAGCAGCTATAGTGAAATAGCAGTGAAGGTGCGAGCCATCATGAGAGCTGCATTCTTTCCCTCACTTAACATATTTGCCTTAATGTTAATCTCCAGCACAGCCAGGAAACTAGCCATCAATACGATGGCCTCATTATATTTGCCCTGAAGCAGTGGACTCCATGCTGTGTTACCTGTCATTACGTGTGATCCACAAGGACACTTGTCAATATCGGGTATTGTCTCACACATTTCTCATCATTGGAGACACCTAGGTGATATTGACATGCCTGCCTCGTTGGTTTCAGTGATGGCCAAACACTTTTGTATGTGAGGACGAGAAATCGTTATGGTTCGTGTCCAGATAATGTCAATTGATATTTTCATCTCCATCTTTGCTCCAAGGCCATCCACACCCTGTATGTTCCCAGGACAATTCAGTTGTTTGTCTAATATATCATTGGAGAATTTAGTTCAGAGGTTTTCTTCATTGGTTTGCTTCTGGTAAATTTCACTTCCAGCAACGTATTATTAATCATAAGTCATGTTGAGAATCGAATAACAAGTCAATGACAATCATTTATAAAGACATTGAAATATTGATTGGTTTTAAATCTGTTAATAATTAATTTGGACCGGACAATCCTGTGATTATGAACGATGGTCCATGTCAGGGTACAAA